ATCCAATCTCCGAATCCTGAGGCAATAAGGACAAAGCTAACTTATTATACTATCCGAAATATATCTTGCTCTCCACTCATTCTACTTCCGTCATTGTCAGGTCAATTAAGGTTTCCAGGCTGACTCACTCGGTGGCCTCACGCATCACACCCGTACCTATTGAAAGTCATGGGTACTCACTTGTAGTGTTTGATTGTTCTAGAACTTGTCGGTCAACCCGGTTGGTGATGGCGGTTGGTGGTTTTGTATATGAGTTCACACTAGCAGAGATTTCTCCTGCTAGTATAGTTTTATTTCATGTTCAGTTTCAGAATACGGGAAGGGTCTCTATCGGGGGTTTGGATACCTGCTGGTAGTGTTCAGCAGTCTTTCGGTAAGGCTCGGTGACCCGGTTACAGTGGATGCGGATATGAGAACTTCTGTCCCAGCTGGACCTCGGAAGAGGGGAGAGATACTGGAAATTCTGGGAGCTCAGGTTTTAGGATAGGGAGGATTTTTCCCAGCATGTTGATAGGCATTCTGATTGTGGTTATGGGCATCATCGCTCTATATAAACCCCCCTTATTGCCCCATAGATAGAAAAAATGAGCAAGCAGAAAACGTCAAACTCCTCCCTCTATTTTTCTTCCATTCTCCCACAACGCATATCCCGCACATCTTTCAATAGTACCTGCAGCGGAAAAATGACTTGGTCGGGGTGGACATGACCGCACTCGGAGACAAAAGCAATGGACCCCCCTAGGTTTCCATACAAAATGTTCCGGTTTAACAGACCACTGCTAGGCTCCACAAGACGTATTATTCTTGGAAAAGAAATCAGATTGAAGGGAATCACAAGGGATTTAACGTATAAAATTGGAGATTTTTTCTTTTCTGCTCGGCACGGGCACCGGGTCTATGTACCATAAACACTGGGGTAATGGAGTTCCGTGCTTTGTCGTTGGAGTTGCCCCCTCCTCTCATGTGTGGTATTTTAGGGTTTTTATCTCTCTCAGAGGGGCTGGGCAGGTGATTTTTTGTAGTGTCTTTCGCCCTGTTTCCGAAGGACGGAATTTTGGAGTACGTAGCACTTGACTCCATTATTCTAGTTTTTGCGGTGGTCTGCCGGTAGGGTAGCAGTGCAGAGACCCTGACGGATTGCCTGCCTTACGAATTTCCTCTCACCCCTGCGTTTTGGGAGGAGAAATTGAGAACACTTGTGCTTAGAACCTTTGCGCCAGGTTCTGTGGCGCAGCATTCAATTGGGTGAAAGTTGATGTCACATCGCAATACCAAAAAGTAGCTAGATCTTTCTGCCATAATGGGGGTGCGTGGGCACCTGTTTACGGTTGGCTTTTTGTTTGGGAATCCTGCAGGGACCCATTTCTCTTGTCACTAAGACCGGCCACACTGGGATATCTCGCTCCTTATTTTCTGTTGCCCAACTGGGCGAAAGACTTTCTTGGATACTATCTAGGCTAGCGTTCATATTGCGACATCCTGGGGCCTCACTAGCATTTATTGTGTACGTTTTCATTCCTATTCGTCGTGAGATTATTTTGGTCAGTCACGTCGACCTCTGTAGGTAGGGCCGCAGCGTGCCGTTAATTGGGTGTGTGGGGGTTTCTTGGGATCGACTGTTGAAAATCAACGGCGCTCATGCGATCCTGTATCGGTTGTTCTTGGATAGTGGTACAGAGGTTCCACACTAGCAGAGATTTCCCTGCTAGTATTTATAGTTGTTGTATTCTACAGTACGGGGACAAAAGGGATCGTCCGATGCCCTTTTCACACCAAAAATGAACATTTTTAAACGGACAATTCTCAACGCTGCTTATATGAAAGCACTTCAAATCATTTCATCAGCTAGTGAATGACCATCTATTCCAACCCCTACAAGTAGAAGCTTAAGGAATCAAAGTTGTCTTCACCGTTCATGATTGCATCAACCAGCATGAAAGTGACCTAAATTTTTGTATGGGGCTCCATACAAAAAAGTACATGGCAACCGATACTAGAAACTTAAACAACCTTTTCTCCCTCACTTTATAATATTTAAGGATTCTGTGATATTTTTCATGTTATCTACAGGTTTACTAATGCATGGAAAAATTTGCACCGGTTCTCATAGATATTGTGTAGTGAGAGAGGGTAGTGAAGATAGGCACTTTTAGTGTAAAAAGAGCATCGGATGATCCCTTTTGTCCTAGTACTTTAGGTTTCAGTAGTGCAACGGAAAGAAGGTATAGAGGGATATGATACTAAGCGTTCGGAAGTCTTCGGTCTTGCTCAGTCAAGTTAGAGGACTTCGGAACAGCTGATTGAGAATAGCGAGGCACCTCGGATAAAATATTGTCGGACATTGAAAACTCTTGCCTGAGTGGATAGGAAATGGGCTGTTCTATATAAACCCCCTCTTGCCCATCTATAGAAGAAGTAGGCGAGCACAAGATACAATCTGTCTTCTCAAATCTATTCTTTCCTCAAAGTTTTATCCTCCTCCTCACCCATACTCAGAGTCTTATAACAACATGTATGACTGCCCTGTCCCGATTACGCCCATCGAGCACTCTTACAACATGGGTATATGATCATGGGTATAGGTTCCTCTCGACTCTCATATTGAGCGGGGGAATTGGATCGCGGGGGCAGATTTCTCGAGAGTTCCGACTGCATCTTTTAAAAAGACAAGCGCGGGCATGTCCACCTCCTATAGGTCATATTTCAGAGGCAGGCGGGTGTGATGCGTGAGGCCACGGAATGGTTTGGCCTGGAAGCCTTGATGGACCTGCCAATGATGAAAGTAGAATGAGTGGAGAGTAGGAGATATGTCTGGTAGTACAATAAGTTAGATTTGCCCCTATTGCATCGGAATTAATTCCGAGATCGGACCCTACCAAGATTTTTATATCCGGGATTCGAGTAACAGAAAGACAGTTGATTTGATTCACCTATGTACCTCACGCATCCACTTCGCCAATTGGAGCCACTGGGCGGGGGTCTGATCTGGGTTTGCCCTTTATGGCATTATGGGGACCGACTAACACCAGGGCCAGAACCTCTGACATAGGGAAAACAACCTCATTTCTTACAATTTGCGATCCTGCCAGTCTTCCGTGTCAAGATCCGTGAACCAGCGCAATGGAGTAGCATTTGATTTCACCTGATACTCTATGAAATTAGCCCACCTAACTCAAGAAAAACGTCTTTAGAGCAGGCAAGTTTATTTGTGATAAACATCTGTTGCCAGTGGAAGATACCTGGGGCCTTGGGTTGCTGCATTCCGGTACAGCACAGCGGTGGGCGATACCGGGGCGGTGTGGTGCAGAAACTGTCTTTCGTTTTGCAGTGCTGACAGCTTGGGCTCTCCCGGTCCCACTCTTGCGCGTCCGGCATGGGGAAAAATCTAGCTGCAGAGCCGCAGTAGATGTTGGGTGGGAGAGAGACAGGGATGCGCGGCCACAAGCCCATAGCAAATAAATTTCCCTGCTTCCCTCTCTTGCCTTCAAACTGCGCCCTCCTTCTCACCCCACCCTCGTCACTCCTTCCTCCTTCCTTACCCTTCCTTCTTTTCCTCCCTATCCACCCTACTTTCGACATCCCATCATCACTGCTTTCACACTCGGCCGTGTTTCTCAACTCACCGCACTCATTGTAAGTTCTTTTTTTTTCTTGCTAACTCCCTTCAGGTTCATGCCTATTTAAGTGGATGCCATGCTAATTACTTTATCAAACTTGTTTACCCGTTTAATTTTTTGGAAGCTTCATTTAACTCGCTTCCCTTTAGACACAATAATGCCTGCAATCTTGGTTGCCTACACTACTGCTCTCACTGCAGGGACCGCTCTTTTCGGCTGGAACTTGGTAGGGGTTCAAACCTAACAAACATATATCATGGTCGCCTGGTCTAATGTCCGTTCTTGCCCTAGGCCGAATTGAACGCCCCCCAAAATGCAATTCAGGAGGATTTGGGACTAGGTGCCGCCCAATTTGGTAAGATCGCCCAGTCCTCAGGTTATAACCACATTATACTTGATCCCATTCGGGCACTAATAGTAATACCGATCCTACAGGTCTCGCTTCCAGCATTCTTGCGATTGGAGGTCTGCTTGGCTCCGCCGCGGCGACCCCCAGTATGAACGCCTTCGGGCGTAAGAAAATTCTCATCGGAACCGCCATTGCGTTTGGAGTGGCGGGGTCACTCAAGGCCATAGCCGGCAGTGCCACCCTTCTCACTCTTGGCAGATTCATTGGCGGAATTGCTTCCGGATCTGCTGCTGTTATCGTGCCGATTTACATTAACGAGCTTGCACCCCCTGCCTCCAAAGGAGCCTTGTAAGTTATCACCAAGACCTTTAAAAATTCACTGTTTAGACCTAACTTTTTCAGTGGTGCCTTGACTCAAATATCAATTAATTTGGGTATCTTGTCCTCCCAGGTTTTGGGTATTCTCTTGGGTAAGTTGCTACCTTTCATAGATCGATTTCGCTCAACTCTAAACATCAGTTACACTAGAGAATAAAGGGCAGTGGCGCTTTATTCTCCTTACCGGAGGGATAATCGGTTTTTTGCAAGCCGCATCCCTCCTGTTTCTGCCGGAGTCTCCAACCTCATTGGTGGCCGCTGGGAAGATAGGTGAAGCTAGACGCATGCTTGTGGTGATCAGAGGCACTTCCGATGTTGATGAAGAACTTGCCAGCTATCAGAGCGAACCGCGTGGTAGGCATTTATTACTTCCCCCTACCTGTATTGTCCTGACAAAAGTACTTACAACCACTCAATAGAACAACAACCCGAGGGAACAGCTGAGACCGAGAACATAGCTGGACAAGATCCACTCATCGTGGCCGAAGCTGGTAATCTTTTGCTTTTTTTTTTTCCACAACCCTCCATCCTTACTTAACTGGAGGATACTCATTAAAGCAAAATAGGGCAATCACCGGGAAGTCCGGACACCGAACCTGCGCGTGAAACTACACCTCTACTTGGGGGAAGTCGCACTACAGAGGCTGAGAACAGCCCAATTGGATTGATGGAATTTGTCAGGAAACGTGAATACCGCTCCGGGTTTGTGATTGTCGCCGGAGTAATGCTGGCGCAACAGCTTACAGGTAAATTATTGTCTACCCTTTCACCAATTTGTCAAGTATTGTAGCTTGGTTTATTCTAAGATTCAAGGACCTTAGGGATCAATGCCGTTGTTTTCTACGGTGTTTCGATTCTCAATGACCTTCTCCCCAATACTGCCAAATTTCTCAATGCCGCAATTTCTGCGGTCAATCTGTTGGTTACTTTTGGCGCATCGTTCTGGTTTGACAGAGTCAGCCATAGGACCTTGCTCTTAGGGTCTATCTTTTCCATGGGTATCTCTGCCGCCATTCTCAGTATCTGTATTGCCTGCGATTTGGCTATCCCCTCTGCAGTTTCCACCTTGGTTTTCGTAACGTCCTTTTCAATGGGGTTGGGCCCTCTTCCCTGGATGGTGGCTTCTCTTAGGATTGCACAAAAAGGCATTGGTGCAGCGCAATCAATCGCCTTGATTGCCAATTGGATGGGTACGTTCCTAGTTGGTTTTGTTGTTCCTGTTATCGCTGATGCTGCGGGAATGTATATCGTCTTCGCTGTGTTCGCAGTCTTGAGCTTCCTTTGCTTTGCCTGGGGTGTTTACTTCTTGTGAAATCTCTCTACAGAGCACTTAAAAATGGTTGGCGCCTCACGGGCATGGTATTTGGGGTTCGCGTTCTGGTTTGCTCACTTTTTTTTTTTTTCCTTTCGGACACTTTACTTGATACCTAGGCAGCAACTGTTTGTCAAAAGCTTCTACCACTTCGGTTGCCATTCACCTAGATGCTATCACCAGGATCACAGAGGGTCAAATAGATGAAATAAAAAAAAAGAGGACCAATGTCCTTAAAATCCTAACTTACAAAACTATCCACATCCTAATGTCTGCATCGAAGCCTTCCAATGGGTCCGGGTTGAGATGGGTCAACACGGGTTCTTCATTGGGTTGGGTTGGGTTCAGTGGATCGGGTCGGGGATTTTACTTATCCAGGTTAGGCTAAGTTCTAGAATACTCCACCCGGGTTACCCATTGAACCCAACCATTGCATTCTCTGGTTTTTATTGCATAGCCTTCCTAGTATATTTGAGCTATCCCATGCCGTAGGATAGCCTGATCGACAGAATTGGAAAACTTTATTTACGAGATACAGTGGGGAACAGCAATGGAAAACTCTCTAAATTAAGTAAGATTAGACGAAATGGTAAGCTTAATTCTTTTAGTCACAGTAGTCTAGAGATCTCGCTCGCTTCCAAAGACTGTCACAACTCAATATGTAATGCTAGACTGACTTTGAAACTTTTTTTATCTTCGTGATCATTTATCAAAATCTGCTGCTAAACACATAAGAATTTACGAATGTTTTCACCCTGTCATTGTTTCATATACAAACCCAATGGGTTTGTTGGGCTAACTCGTGTTATGGTTGAGTTGGGTTGGGTTGGGTACACTCATTTTCAACCTGGGTCAACCCATTGGAAGCAAAATGCATTGCCATGCTTCTCCAACGATTACCAAAACACAAAACAACTCCACTTCTATCTAGTCATTATTCTTGAACAAGCCGCTCTTCCGCTAAACCAACTGATACAAGATTCGTGAATTCCAACCGTTTTAACCTTACCGCGGTGGTAGCACTGAGCGGACTGTTATTCACCTAAGTAAAAAGCGGTTCGTGGCCCGTAATGTTGATTGCCTTTCCATTCTCTTTCGGCTTTTACCCAATATACATGCCAATTGGAGAATTAGGGCAAATTCTCTATCGAACATATCTAAGAGTTTTTTCTCCGCGCTACGCTCAGCAAATTCTTCTCCCGTTAGCGATTGAGCCGCCCCACTGTATTCCGTACCTCCCGCCGCCACAACATCCCGAAGCTAGACCGAGCCAGAATACCGAACACTGTAGCTATGTAAGATTTGGTCTGACAGCAACGATTGCAAACCAACTGACCATAGAGACAGGATGAGAGAGCCAAGGTGTGGACAAGTAAAGACAGCTTGATTCCCATAAAGCCATAAGGAAAAAAATATTGTGCTCCTATTCTATGAAAACGATACAACAAGATGACTAGAAAAACCTTTCTCCCACACAAAACAGGCTGCAGGTGGGCAAGCAGGCGCAAAATGGCCGCGATTGGGCTAGCCTCTCTAATCTTTTGCCCGCATTACAAGCGCAGCGGTCTCACGCAAGAGCCCAAGCCCCTTGAGCTGGCATCCTTGATCAGCTCCTGGTCTGCTGAACCCCTCCCTACCTTGCCCCCGGTTCAGTGGTTTTTGTATAGCTAAGGTTTTATTCTACGTACACGAAGTGAACTCATTTCGGGACAAATCCTGCTGATTCCATCCACCTTGGCGCTACCTCCCTCTCTTGCCACTGGCATGCCCGGCTCTTAGAGTCCGAGGCTAATGCGTCCACCAAGACAGATTCCCTCGCGAAATCTGCGCGGTAGAGAAGAGAAACAGATACATAAGATACACCTAGAATACCCAGTCGCGCAAAACATAATGGACGGCCAACAGTGGGGAGAGGAAATTCGGAGGAGTACCAGCTGTTATTACTAGCATATCCAACTTGACCTTCTATTCTTTTGGGCTCAATTTTGAACCCTGGTTTTGCACACAATTTTCTGGGGGATGTATCCACAAAGAAAAGCCGGGAAATCAAAAACCCTTGCAGTGTGGGTCACACACCGCCGCATTTTGTACTTTGGCAAGAACGGAGAGAGTGACGAGCCTATCAATGGCATTGCACTAGAAGCCATTTCTCTAATTACTTTTTCCATTTTCCATGTTCCAAACCCTTGATATCTACAGAAGGGGGACTCTGGACCTTGGATTCTGGTGGGATACTGTAGTGATCAATTGTATTTCCCTTCTGGTCAATGGTCTGCTCGAGTAGATATTAACAATCACTCTCTTATACATTAGTACCGATTATTTGCATGGCCGAATTGAAGCCGAACACCGTCAGATTGCGATGATCTCTGAGCCAAGGAATGGACTTCCTGAGCAAGCGGTACTAGGTGACGCAAGTCTATATATCTTACAAAATAAGTTGTAGCCCGTCTAGCCAGAGGTATCAGAGAAACTCATCCCCGGGTTGTTACCCATCGAAAGTGTGAGACATGTCCCGGGACCCGTTGCAGGCGGATAGCTCATAATGGAAGTAGTAATTTCAATGGATGCAATCCAGATAATATGGGTATTCGAGCGTTTGTAAGTCTATACACTGAAACAATACCTGTAAGGCACTTTTGTTTCTATACTCATATATGATAATTGATGATTTTGCCCTGAAGGAGTATTTTACTGGGTTTGTGATCACGACTAGAATATTAAGGGGTCTCCGCCTTGATTCAGCGGTATGAGTACACTAGTCTAGCAATCCTCCAGTAGCACGGTACAATCCCCAAAATTCATATTACAGAGCAGGTCGGCTAAGGAACCTGTAGTTTCTCATGAGATCAGATCACACATACCCGCTCTTGGAAATCATGCTTGTGCGCTCTAGTCCAATCTCAGCCTGTTATCATTAGCATGCCGACCCGATATGTGGGAGACAAATGTCGGTATGGCACTGAATGAGATACAACAACCCCGGGGTTTATGGATTGCAAGAGCGCTGCCATCATGAATCCTTAATGGCGATTGATGGCCTTCAGGAGCCCATGGCACTTAGTTCTATCTCGGTCTACCCCATCTTTCCCCCATCTATCTGGCCAGAAACGCTCCACTTAGGGCTAGTTAGCACGAAAGTTTAGCATTCAAGTACTAAAAAAACCCATGCAGCAGCCAGGCACTAGGAGTGGTGATCAGTAGTAAAGAAGAAAAAAGAAATGCTTAGAATTCAGATACAGAATCCCCCATTAACGTAATTTACGGGGATGCGGCTGTTTACCCATATGCGGCTCACCATAGCAACCACTGGAAAACCCAATATATAATTGATTATTGACATAAATAAAAATGCAACCACTTTAGAAATTGGTTACAAAGTACTTCTACATATGGGGAATCAGAATATGTAGCTTTTATTTATTAATAAGCAAAAGTAATTGTTGGTATAGTGGTTTTAAGAATAGTTGTTTTAAACAAGACTCCACTTTTACAGTATGTGTAAAAATGTATATATAAATAGGAGGACCTTTATAACCTAATAGAATAATTATTTGGGCTGTATATACTTAGAATAATATAGCTTTCTGGTAATTTATAGGCCTATTGGTATGTTATATGAACTGAAAGAGAGGAGGAAAACTACATACAAAATATATCATTTTTACTACATGATATCTGTTTGTGAAAATAAGAGATGAAGTGGATACTTTGTAACATTCTTTTCTACAACTATTTAACTAAGTTTACCAAGTTTCAAGAATTATGGACAAGTTGTTCAGGTTCTATAGAGAACCCTAGGAAATCTATGTTAAAATTCGGTATTATTAGAGTTGAGGTTTGAAATCTCTGAGTCCTATTACCTAAATAGACTAAAACTCTTTCAATAACTTTAAAAATATGAGTAGACTAGAAAGCACTACTTTGGACCTTCTCCTGAACATGTAGCCTAGTTAGTTGCAGCTTGAAGGTAGTATTGTTCTCTAAATTACTTTATAATAATATCGGCATAAAATTTACAAGACTTGACCTACTGTCTTGAGAACTTATATATGATCTTGGATTATGTTAGTGAAGAATATTAGAAATTATTATAATATTATGTAAACTCTATATGTAGATATCATCTATTCCTGTTTATAAGATACATTTTTAGCTTTAGTTCTTTGTTTAGTCTCAATAGCCCCTGAAATAGCTACAAACAAATCCTGATGCCCCTAATACATCAAGTCCAAGACCTATAAGATCCTACAATTTACTTAAACTAGTGTTTTTGCAATGACTTTCAATTTTTATAATCCACTATTCTTATTATGATATTTGAGCTACTCTAGACCCAACTGAGTATACAAGAAGAACCATTCTTTATTATCAAATAAAACCTCCAGATTCCGATTCTCCATATTTAAAGGTGCTTTTTAACAGATTTTCGGTATGGTATCATTATTATTTTTGTAGATAATCAAATATACATTTGGTTTTCCAGCAGTTGCCATGGTGAGCAGCATCTGGGCCAAGAGCCATTGCAGGGTGAATTACATTACATGACAAGTTTGCATAACTGGTTTTCAGCCACCTGTAGCTTTGGGTCCCCTTAGCACAACTGGGCAGTACAAAAAATATTTTTAATTTACAGCTCTCATTGAACCATACATGATTTTATTTGTATATTCTGCAAATTTCTGGAGGTTCTTAATGCTGCGTCCTCTGAAGAAGTACTTTCAGCTTTGTCAAAGCTTGTTTTTCTGCAATTTCAGCCTTTTCCACTTCCACCTCTGCCTGTGATTTCTCTGCCTCCTCCAATAATTGTTTAATACTTTCTAACGTACTTCACTGTGAAGTGACACAACACTGGGAAGTAATACAACTTGATATATTCTGCTAAAGTAGCAACAATTCCACCAGTTCTCAAGCAAATTTAATAATATGAAAGGGGAGCAAATGCGGAGTAGATAGGAGAAAGTAATCAGGGATCAAAGTCAACAAAAAGCTAAAGCTAATCCAAAGAGAACCACCAAAAACTGCAAAAACAGACCAATTAATAATAGCATAAGAAATTGTATATAAGCAATGGTAGG